TCCCTATGCTTTTTAACATATATGTAAATAAAAATGCTGAGCAGTCATCCACAGATGTGGGCTGAGATGCCCTCAACATACTGTTTTTACGTATCTCTACCTCTTCTTATCTAACGAATGAGACAACTGGCATTCTAAACCAGTTCTTGGGCAAGGTAAGGGACAGGATGGAGGCCAATAAATACTTAATGGTAGCAGAGATTGCCTTTCATCAGTTTCAGGTGATTTACAAATTATGAGCTTACCGAGACAGTCTTACAACAGTACTGTATCCATCTGGTAACTTCCTGGGTGGATTATTGCAATGTATTGTACATGGGACTCTCTTCAAAAGCATTCTGACAATTTCAACTGTTTAAAATCTATATTAGTTACTGTTCCATTTCCAAACCTGATTCAAAGTGATAGATTTCACCTTTAAAGTCCTCAAAATCTTAGGATCAGGTTGCCTGAAGGAACACCTTCTTTCATATGTATCTATCCAGACCTCACTATCATCTAACAAGAGGTGATGTGGATCACTAAGAGAAAAAGCCTTCTCTGTGGCAACCATCATTTACGGAATGCCCTGCCCAGAGAAACCACAAGAACTTTTCAGCACTAGGTAAAGACCTTATTTTCCTTAATAATTTTGAAATACAGGTAGTTCTTAATTTACAACAATTCATTTAGTGACCATTCAGAGTATGATGCCACTGAAAAAGTGACTTATAATTGTTCTTCACACTTATGACCATTGCAGCATGGTGCCTCATGGTCATGTGATCAAAATTTGGGCATTTGGCAACTGGCATGCATTTATGACAGCTGCTGTACTCTGGGGGTCATGTGATCACGATTTTCAACTTTCTCAGTAGGCTTCCAACAAACAAAGTCAATGGTGGAAGCCAGATTCATTTAACAATCACATTATTCACTTAACTGCAGTGATTTATTTAATAACTGTAGCAAAAAAGTCATAAAATAGGACAAAACTCCCTTAAACAAATGCCTTGCTCAGGCTTAAAAAATTACGTAATAGTTCTAATAACACAATTCATTATTACAAATATAGACAAGGAATAAGAATCTTTGCAAAACACAATAATTTCCAAAGTGCTGATAACGAGAAATAAGGTATTAACATGATTATAAGAACTCTGTAATTCTTTGTTTGCAATTGTTAGAAAAACTTGTTTCAATTAGAATGTTACATTTATACTAAAACAAAATACTAATACAGTATTGGCATTCTGAGGACTTTTTATTCCTATATCATTTCATTGCCAAAACTTTAGTTCAACATTTATGAGTCTTCCTTTTTGTCCTACAAGCCAGCAACTCTGGTACAATCGATCTTAGAAACAGAAAACTGTCAGCAGAAAGACCTGGTGGTCCTTCTAGTACACCCTTTGAGTTTTGTTTTCTTCATTTATTTACTATTTTTAATTATTTGGATTATTTTTAATTTTTATGTTGCCCTGCCTCTCCAGTTCCCAACTCAGTAAGTTTATCAGTTTACAGTGTTAAGTACACAATCCAACCCCTGGCAAAAAAAAGTCTTGCAGATTAATCTGGACCCTAACCTTGTAGCGAAAAATCATTTGTCCCTTATTTTTGTCTTCTGGCAGACAGAACTCAAACTATAATTCGAGCTTTTTCTTCCTCCAGATTGAATCTCACTGACAAACCTACCTAATATTGCATCTGGTTACCATCGAAGAACAAGTACATAAATCAGTTTAAAGCTAAGGGCAAAACCTGCCTCTTTCTTCGGCTAGGTAGAGCCCATATTATTCGCCTTCATTACAAAACCAAATTCTGCTACTTCCGGCTCTAATTTGTCCCCCTTCGATTCGCCTTGCTAAAGTCGACCTTGCCGGCGAGCAGAAGAAACTCAAAAGGGTATGAGGATGATCTGCCTCCATCTCGCAAGGGCTCAAATCCACCGGGCGTTTCTTCCACCTCTCCGCCGTCCATTTAAATCCCCGACAAACCGAAAAGCAGCCGCGGGGCTTCTTTATCCAGCAAGCGAAAAACAGCGGCCGTGACTGTCGTTTAAAACCGTCTCTGCTGTTCAAAGGGCTTTTTTCCCCCTCTTCTTGCTGTGAAATTCGGTCACTTTTGCGGGCAGACCAAAGGAAACCACTGGGCGTCCGACAATCCAGCTGAGGGTGGTTGCAAGGCGGGCGGCGGGATCGCCCCCAAGGACTTTTTTCTTCTTCTGGGATATATCGATCCGCATAGAGCTGGGAGGGACCTCGGAGATCTTCTAGTCCAGCCCTTTCTGCTCAAGCAGGAGCCTCTATGGCATTTCAGACGAAGTGGCAATCCAGTCTCTTAAAAACATCCAGTGAGGGAGTACCCACAAGTTTCTTCTTATATCCCGGGTTTTTGTTTTTGGTCTTGCCTTCTTGACCTCTCTCTCTCTCTCTCTCTCTCTCTCTGTGTGTGTGTGTGTGTGTGTGTGTGTGTGTGTGTGTGTGTGTGTGT